TTAAAAATTACTTACAAATTTTATACAAATTTATTTTTACTAAGATCTTAAAAAAAAATACATAATTGTTTTAAGAGAATATATATAATTATTTTAGAGAATATATAATTATTTTATAGAATTATTTGCTAGAATATAAAATGATTTAAATCATTTTATTTAACAATGATTTAAAAATAATCATTTTTTAATCAATGTCAAATTAAATGTCAATTTAAAAACATGCAAAAAAAGGTTAATTTTACACAAGTAAAATATAATATTTACCGCAAGGTTGCTCCACCGGTGCCTGATGTCTCTTCCAGACCTCCTCCTCCTCTCAGAATATGATTAACATTTCGCACAGGACACTCGCGTAAAACACTCGCGAATAATAAAATATAATCGCGCGCGGACTATAACTTGAGTCCGATAACTTGAACGGCACTCCCGAAACGTTGCGACGAACCGGCTGCGGTTCGTTCATTTTTAAATCGGCGGTGAAGGTACGTTAGCTTCCTCGTTGGATTTTTACACGAAGAGAATGATTTTACTCAATAAAAATTTATCTAAAAATTTATCTAAATATCTTATATTCAGATATCTAAAAATTTTTAAATACTTGAGAAAAAAACGTTCTTTTCGTGTAAATATCCTCTGAGCCCTCCCACCACAAGATCGTACCCGTGAGAGGGAAGATAATCTGAAAAATATAATATATAACTATTATCTATATTACTATGCAATCGGTTAACTTTTAGAAATCAAGAATATCACGTCTGCAATTCGTTATCATTGCGAAATAAAGTCAGAGCAGATAAAAGGGTTGAATCTTTTACTTAGACATAAATGATTAGAGTCTAGAATGAAATAGGCTAGAGATTAATAAAAACGAAAAACGTTTCTTTTATTACCGATAAATAGTTACGGTTAATTTTTAAACGGATCTCCGTATCGAAAGGTGCTCAAAAAAAAACTTATTAATTATTAAATCATATTCATTGTAAAAGCAGGAATTGCGATTTTTTTGCACGAAAGTATTCATATTATTAACATTGTTTTTTTATAAATTTTATATCGTGTGTGATACCGTTCGTATAGACAAGTAGCCGTGTCGCGTGCCGCTCTTCTTTACATTTCTTTTGAAAAATATAATCGCGAAAAATGCTAGATATAATACGAAAGTTTATTTCATGAATATTCACATAATATGATTGCTAGTATAATTAATTATTATCATAAAGCTTCGTATTATATTTTTTTCGATTTTTTGCGATTACGTTTCAAAAGGGAATGTAAAGAAAAGCGGCACAACTACCTGCCTGTACGAATTTCGGTAAGACAATGACTGTATGGTAACTACGTATAAACATAACGCGCCGTTCCGTGCCACCCCGTACCATCCCCACTTCAAGGTCGCGCGCCGGTTGTCTAACTGTCGAAATATTACGCGTATTACAAAATTAGTAAAATAATCTATTCGTTTTAATATTCTTCGATGAATATTACGACGATGCTTTATTATATGATTTACGTTTTTTTTTAATTCGTTACGCACACAACTCATTTATATCTTAGGCCGATATTCATAGTGCCAGAACTTATATTCAAGACTCTTAAGTACAATTTTAAGAAGTCACGAATCAGAGGGCTGTATTAGTGCCTTAAGACATTACTTAAGACAGTCTTGAAATAAGAATGGACTGTGAATACCGCTCTTAGAGCCATATCTCTAATTTATATATCTCTGTAAATGTGTAACATGAATTATATTTAGTCCAAAATGTTTTATAATTTAAAAAATGTTTGCATTTATATAATGAATATATAATTTATTATTCATCTTTATTTGAATGTAAATCATCAAAGAGAATAATAAATATTAAGATATAATTCCTTGTACACACCTTAGTTTTGAGCAACATTACTGTTTGGGCAATCTTATGTAATTAATCGTCAATTCGCGTTCGTGAATATTTAATTTTCGTAAATTAATGTGCGACGCCCGGAGCGATCGTATCAAATGT